CTTAACCTCACATCTGTAAGAAGTAATTAACATGCTTAACCTCACATCTGTAAGAAGTAATTAGCATGTTTAACCTTACATCTGTGAGAAGTAATCAGCATGTTTAACCTTACATCTGTAAAAAGGAATTGACATGTTTAACCTCACGTCTGTAAGAAGTAATCAGCCTGTTTAACCTCACATCTGTAAGAAGTAATCAGCATGTTTAACCTTACATCTGTAAGAAGTAACCAGCATGTTTAATCTTACACCCGCGAAAGAGAGCACCGTCTTAAATGTCCAGAACCAGAATTGTTGGTTAACATTACCCAAGACGTGAAAAGGTGTTAATTCCATAGTAAACAAAGCAGACAATATTTAAACAGAAAATGTATTCCACCGTGAGCAAAGTTTTTCCACAAACGTGCGCTCACACACACATATTTATATTTCTATCTATAGTTGCGAGTATACTTACGAAGCTATTTATAAGCACATTTAAAGTAAAATTCACTTTGCGATAAACACGACGCCTACTCTAAGATTCAAATAAGTGTAATACATATTTGTCTTTATTTATATTGTTGTGTGGTGGCGCTTGTGCTAATGTAATTGTGGCGCAGATTTGTCTATATTTATGTTGTTGTGTGGTGGCGCTTGTGCTAAAATTGTGACGCAGATTTGCCTATATTTATATTGTTGCGTGGTCCCGTTTGTGCTAAAATTGTGACGCAGATTGGTCTATATTTATATTGTTGTATTTCTAGTTATTTAAGATGGTACTTTCTACGTCCTTGTCATTATGTTGACATGCATGTATTTCTAGTTATTTAAAATGGTTCTTTCTACGTCCTTGTCAATATGTTGACATGCATGTATTTCTAGTTATTTAAGATGGTACTTTCTACGTCCTTGTCATATGTTGACATGCATGTATTTCTAGTTATTTAAGATGGTACTTTCTACGTCCTTGTCATTATGTTGACATGCATGTATTTCTAGTTATTTAAGTTAGTTATTTCTTCGTCCTTTTCCACAATTTGGTAAACTCTGAAAACATTACAGTAAAGGTAGAATTGTACAAAAAGCAATTAATCCGATTTTATTTTGGGAACGTTAATAAAAAATTTAGCTAAAAGTGAAAAAACTGAATACACTAAGAATCTTTGACTTGCTAATTTATTTAGTTTCATTTTTCAATATCTGTGAATGGTTTCAAAATCAACCAAAAGAGGAGATTTAGAAATCTGTAAAAAGTAATGAGCTCATATTACATGATAGAACTGTAAAAGTAAAAGCCTTTCCTTTAGCCTCCCATCCCCTAGTGGCTCAGTGGTAAATCTGGAGGCTTATAACGCTAAAAACTGGGTTTTTATACCAGTGGTGAGTACAGCACAGATAGCCCATTTGTGTAGCTTGCACTTACCAACAACCAAACCCTTAGAAATACATTGTGAATGCTAGTGTAACAAACTGTTGTCACCCGGTGGCTATAAAACGCTCAAATTATGACTGAATGTTAGTGTAACAAACTGTTGTCACTTGGTGGCTAGAAAACGATCAAATCATGACTGAATGTTAGTGTAACAAACTGTTGTCACCTGGTGGCTAGAAAACTATCAAATCATGACTAAATGTTAGTGTAACAAACTGTTGTCACTTGATCGCTAGAAAACTATCAAATCATGACTGAATGTTAGTGTAACAAACTGTTGTCACCTGGTGGCTAGAAAACTATC